ACCCTCATTGCAGTGGCCTTCCAATTTCTTGCATAACCCTGTGTAACCACATTGCTTGTACTGGTGCTGATTACGGCTCTTCATAGGGTTAACCACCCCGCTGGAAATCCCACACAGCATGCCCCGAGGCAACTAATTGCAGGGCAGCAAGGCACTTGGGAGAACTTGAGTAGGTAGCTAGGGCAGCTTTCTCACTGCCATGCCTGTGAGCCACGCCACCAAGGTGCACCGAAACAATCAGCAGGGAGAGCAGGCTGCCAGATTTGGAATGGCTCCGGTGGACCTCAGGTGGGAACATAAGGGTGAGCTATTTATTCACAGCTCAGCAGGCCCATGACACGTCCAGGAGGACACGCAAGGTACAGGTGGGCTTGTGACTGAGGAGTGGACCTGAACGCTGAAGCCATTAGGCAGGTCATCCATAAATGCAAAATGTGCCACAATCAAGCAAGTCAAGATTTACCGAGTCTGGTTGGCATGGAGTTAGCTTCCTTTGCAGCACACACAGGGTACCGGGTTTTGGATCTGTGACTAAAACAGCCTTGATAACACACCAGTGTTTTGGCTACTGCCCAACAGCACTTGCAGAGCATCAAAGTCTTGCCTGTTTCTCACTGTGCCCCATTCTCACCCTTCAAAATGAATAAGCTGGAGGTGGGCAAGGAGTTTGGAACGGGGCACAGCTGAGGGAGCTGATCCAAACTGGCCAAAGAGATACTACATACCATGTAACAGCATGCTCAGCAATAAGAGCTGGGGAGGGAGGGTTCTTCTTTCAAGGCAGCTGTTGCTCAGAGACTGGGTTGGCCCTGGTCTGCTTTTGGGAAGTTGTGAGTGATTGCCTTCCCATCATCTGCTCTTTGTGTCCCCGCCTTTTCTTCATCCACTAAACTCTCTTTATCTCAGCTCACAAGTTCTATTTTTTTTTTTTTTTTTGCTCTTCCTGTTCTCCCCAAGTCCTGCTGGGTGAGGTAGGGGGGAAGGGGAGATGAGTGAGCAAGAAGCTGTGTGGGTGCTCAGCTGCTGGCAGGGGTCAATGCTCGGCCCTCCGTTATTGTGCACAAGGACTCCAGCGAAATTCATCTGAAAAATGCTAGAGATGGACATTTAATGTAAGACTAAAATGTCGATCCACACTTTAGTAAGGGAGAGGATTAGAACCCTGCTGTTAAAAGGTCACATGGTACCTTCTGGTGGAAGAAAAACAAAGACAAAAAAGGAAAGAAAAGATTTTTAAAGCAATCATCATAGGCTTCTGGACAGACACAGGCTGAAAAATCTATAGTAAATGAGTGGCAGCAAGCCAATAGAACAATGCAGTTCTTCAGGTCAGTGTCTCAGTAGTACACACAGTGGTGAGAACAGACTAGCCTTCCTAATAAGCACTTCTTTCCCAAATTAGAATAATGCCAATGCCTTAAAGAAAGGGGTTAAAGCACAGCACATAGCAGAATCGCCAAATGTCATCCTAAGATGACTAAAACTGGATGAATGCCTTCTTCAATTCTGAGACTCGTGATTATCTGTGATCTCATTACATGATGAAACTGCTTTAGAAAGAGCTACCCAAAGAAGTATGTACTATTACATGAAACAAAACGTTAACTGAAGGTCTCATATATAGCGCTTCATTTGATGATGATAGCCTACATCATCCCTGTAAAGTTAAGGATTCCTGAATCAAAAACCTGTAGATTTCTAGTCAAACAAAAATTCCTTCAGAGGCCAAAATATTATCTAGCTCCTGTTGAGAAAAATCGCTCTACTTGTCCCGTTTTTTGTAGCCTTTTCCAATCTATCTCAATCTTACTTTTCTTTAAGCAAAATGTGTGAGTTCCCTCTGTGAACACAGAACAGGCACTGACATTTCTAACTTTCACAGAGCACTAAAGCAAGAACTGCAGCAATCAGATTCACACAACTGTAATTAAATGAGGTTCGTGTGTCCAATTTGACTGAAATGTAGACTCTACTCACAGACTTACAATGGTGCAGTAATGCCACTAAGATGAAACAACTGACTGTAAAGTCATAAAAATATGTAAATTATCAGTGACATTGCTATGACATAACACTGGGTTATCAGTAAAGTGATTTGTGTTCTTGTGTGCTCACAGCTCTTATCTGGTTTGTTCACATGAAATAAAAAACTGTTCTTGCTGAAAAACAATCCTTACTTACTTCAAAATCCTATTAGCTAAGCTTGTTACCGAAAAATTGGGGAATGGATGTCAGAATGAAAAAAGGAAAAGAAAAGATTAACGATCGTATCTGCAGTTACATCAACTCAGAAATTTCAAGGTCTCGCTCACACTTCAAAATGTGGAGTTTGTTAGTACCAGAAGAATCCCTCCCACTGTGGTAGAGGAAACATTATATTGTGAAAAAAGGTCATCTTTTTGTGCCTTTTTTCCCCTTATAACAGCTCATACATATTCAAATAGCCAACACCAAGCCTTTTTGGGTAGTTACTGAAAACACTGAAGCCAAACTTCCTCTACAGTGCAGTTACATTCTGCAAACTGATTGCTTCAAACGGTAGTGTCCTACCCAGAAAAACAGGGACAGGAGGAGCTAAAAAAAACATACCCTAAACATTAATGCTTTTACTAATACAGAAGAAACAGTAGGGCTACGAGCATGGCATGGAGTCAGGGCTCTTACATCACAACCTCAAGCATCTTTCTTGAAAGAGCATGAACAAAATAAAGAATATACCTTGCTTTTGCTTGTCTGGCCCTCCTACATTTAGGGAAACAGCAATGGATCTGACCAGTCTGTACTGTCAGTAATAAGGTGTAAGTCAGAATGAGTACCCAGGCAGTTTCCTGGTAGCGTGCTGAGACTGTCGAACTGGCAGGCAAAGAAGCAGACAGTGTTTGTTAATAGAGCAAATTGGATCAGAAGTTGCCTGGACACAAATCAGGAATAAGCTACAATTTTCACTAACTCAATGAACCGAAATCCTGGTGGTTATTTTTTAGTTTAAGTTATTTAATAGTGATTTTTTTTTAAACATACCAAGATAAACATATGAAAACCCTCACTGTGGAAATCAAAATGGAGACACGATGTCTGCTGACTTCAGCTAACTTCTGTGTGATATTCCAACTTCCTTTCCAGTACTCACCTCCTTTGTCTCCTGCCTAATGTTCTGCCCCCAATTTATTACCTGAGAACTTCATTACCTAATGCTGTCAGGTTAAACGATGGATGTAGGAGATATGGCAGATATTTTTTCCTTCATCCTAGAAAATACACAGTTCCTTTCAAAGCATGTTTGCTCATTAAAGGTGTTCCTGCAGCCAGTGAGGTCTGGTAATAGGATTAACTCTGCTCAAAACAGCTATCAGCTGAGCAGACAGATTAACAAGATCATCTCACATGTTGCATGACATCTTTGGCCGTGCTAATGCCAAACAGCAATTTCTAAGACTAAGTTAAAACACGCCATAAAGAAAAGCTGCAGAGATGCAGAAAGGATAAAAAACAACTGCTTAAAAAAATGTATTCCGCAGACAAACTAGCATCACAATGAACAATGCAAATATTGTTATTTGCAAGTGAGGAAGCTGCTCCATAAGTGATTGTTAAAATTCCTTCCATGTCCCAGATACTTTTCTTTAATGGACATTTCTCACTCTGAAGTAGGAAGGTATGAGTTAAATAACTGAGGTAGAAAGCACACAAGGAAGGCCAATACAAATATGGAGGGATGTTGAATATCTTGTTTCAGAAAGCCAATTAGCTGCTGCATCATACTCAGTCTGTTTGTGGCCGAGTATCCTGGATCCTCCTTGTGCACTTCCTGCCCTAAGCTACCCACCCAGCGCAGCGCAGCTGATGGGTTCTCAGCTGATGGGGATCACCCAGCAGCCACAAGCAGCTCAGCTGCGCTGCAGTGGAGTCAGGCAGGGGGAAGTCCGCTTGGATTTCTCTCCACCACGCTGCAGCCAGACACCTACACAGTGCCCACACTTACTCTGGTCCAGCTACTGTGACCCCAACTTCCCCATGGCAACCTCCTACCAAATTCGCATACAAAAGTCACAAAATTGCTTCCTGATGCACCCAGCGTCGCAAATCTGTCAACCTCACCAGCCAGCCTGGCGGTCATCTCAGCCCTGCCTCCTAAAGGACGTACAGATGACACAGCTGAAGCACAAAAGAACGTAGCAAGGCAGAGAGGACCCAGCTCTGATCTTCTTACAGCATTTTGTTAAGAGTCTCAGCTCTGGGAAGATTCTCCCAGACTATAAGAGCACCTAAAAATCAGGGCTGCTGGCTAAGCAGGGAAATAAAACATTCATATGGCACCGTTCTTAATGTATCAGTCAAAGACTACCACTTCAGCTTGCACTAGCAGATGGAGGAGTTATTGCAGCTTACACCATCAGACAAATTAGCCCACCCATCGATCTGCTGTCAGATTCGCAAGCTCTCAAGCTTACCAGCCTTTCAGCAGAAAAAGAGAAGTCTCAAGCTGCTTTTCTTTAGGGAAAAATAAAGCTCTTCCCAAGTTCAAATAGCAAATAGGTTTTGTTTATCCTAGAGACTCCGACTGCATCAAGGCTTTCTGAGCATAAATTAGATTTATGCTATAACAGCAGCAGAGAGGGAGCTTAATTACAATGACAATGTAACTCAATCTAGGCAGTGCTCTCATTTACTGTACCAAAAATTTCCTTCTGAATTTTTACGCTTGGCCTAGACCCAAGTAGCAGCAAAACCAGAACTACACAGATATTAGCAGCCTTACAAGGGACTTCACCATCAACAGGCTGTACACGAAGCAGGTAACGTTACCAATTCTTACATCCACAGAGGGCATCCGCTAGCTGAAGACAACACACGCGTTTATGGAGGATCTGAATTTTCACCGCAGGATCCTCCTCCCCCAAACTTTAACCTTAACCTTCAGATACTGCTGAAGAAGCTCAACAGCAAGGTCTGTCTGTTTCAGTGGCCAACAGGGCACATACACCACGGCAGCTACTTACTCCACAGTACCGGTCATCGCTGAATATCTGCGGTGGCAGTGGGTTGCCTTGTGCGGGCTGCCTGTCCTCGGGAATGTTTTTGTACATCCACTGTCTTTTCTCCTCTGACATTGTGATATCCACTTCTTCAAACTCGATGCGATTGGCTTCCAGAAACCTCACCACATCTTGTTGCCTCTTCTTTATCTAGATGAACGAAAGAAAAAAGCAAAACAATACATCAGAGCAAGGCCCCCATAACCCAGACTCATTTACAAACCTGAGTGCATTCCTTCTATCCTGTCCCACATCCACATGACAGAAAGTCACAAGCTCAGGAAGAGAGAGGAGAAAATATTTTTTTCCAGTTTTAAATTCATCGCAGTCAAACACTGCTGTTTCTCTGCAAGTTGGCAAAGGTTATGCTTCATTTTTAGAAGGCTGTCTCTCTAGTCCTACTGTGGGAATGTCAGCCTTTACTCTCTAGAAGAAGCTTTTTAAAAATAATCTGTATAGGACTGTAACAAGTAGGAGGTAAAAGATGTAGCTGGTTTTCAAAAACATTAGGGGCTACATTTTTGAAGTATACAGGCAGCTAGAAATGCAAGGTGAGCAACCTGGCATGTCCCAGAAGAGTCTCTAGGTGTCTATAGGTGTCCACTGAGATAAACACGTTGGTACATCTGAGAGGGGAAAAAAAAAGAAGCACACTCTACCCAGCTGCACATATTTTTGTTTTCCTAGACATCTTGTAAAAATGCAGCTCCATGGTTTCCTAAAGAAGGCTCGTTGAATCTTTAATTAAGAGTGTCTGTCTGCATAATACACATGCCTAAAAATAAGCATGATCTCATCTCCTGAAAACTAACTTCCCTGCATAAAAAGGCATTAGGTATGTACTAAACGTATGGGGTTTCTGCCCCTCAAAGAGATTATCATCCTCATGCAAAAGCCCAACAGAAGCAGAAGGCTGGCAGTTTTTAGCTGACTGCAGCTACCTAATGTCAGCTCTTACCAGCTAGCTGGACTCCAAGCAGATGCAGTCAGGTGAAGACGACATCTGCCTCACGGAGGATTTTATACCAAGACAGCAACCTTGAGAAAGAAAGCATGTGGGGCTGAGGGAAGCTGTACTCATTTGTCTCAATCCTCTCTGCATTCTCTTCAGTCCGTGCTGTATTTTTTTTATCTACTTAATGAAACAAATTCCTTCAGAAAGAAGCTACAAATTACACGCTGTATTTTTACAGCTATCATCAACAGAATTATTTGATGAAAAAAAAAATACAGCTTTAATATTTTTACAGTATTCCTGGAGTGTTGGATCCACACAGCCGCTGATTGGCATAAAGCCCAGGTGGATGAATCACGCCTGTGGGCATCATATGACCCAGATGCTGTTTGGAAATCAGAGGATTTTTAAAGTGCATGTGAGCTGTTCTTGTCGCACAGCCCATCCTGTCTACCCAAACGCACCACGAAAAGGCACAGCTTTTGGTGATGGAATCACTGCTTCCTTGAAAATAAGAGAGTAGCCAGCTCAAGAAACTAGAAAGACAAAGGGCTAAAAAGATGACTGCCTTCCTGAAGAAATGGGCTGCATAACCAGGTTGTGTCTCACAGGCTTTTTTCTTCCTCTTTTTTTTTTTTTTAAACATACACAGTATTGGATTTGAGGCACATTGTGCAAGGATCACTTTTTCACACGGAAGGCTACAAATTGCTTGCAAGCAATGCATTATCCACAACAGCAAAACGACTGCATCATCATCAGCACTCCTGGGACCGAAACCAACCTGACTCTTGCAGCTTCCTTACAAACTGCAAACAGGAATCGTGTTGTCAGTGCAGAAGTAAAGGATGAGAATATCTTCCTCTCTCTTTTAGAAAATAAATAAATACAAAAAAAGCTGCAAGAGAGGCCCAAAACAAACAGTTTTTCTTCCAGTACTCTCTACTGTGCACACAAGTTTAAGTACCACTCAGCTTTAAGCAGATCCCTAATACTTTACCCTTCACACCATAAGAGTTCTCCCACAAACACACATTTCCCAATTTCTCCTTTTAATTTTATAAACCTAATTAAGATGTTGAAGGGAAATAAATTGTTGGGGATTTTTTTTTGCCTTTTTTTTTTTTAATCCAGAAGCTTTGCGATTCTCCACATGACATCTGCGTGAGTTATCAGCTGTGGGTGTGCCAGCTGCATAAATTTAAACAAAATGCCCTGAAAATTTTTAGCCAAAAAAGTCACATCTCCTCCTCCTCCTCCCCCTAGTAAGTTGACTGAAGTCTGTAAAATGAAGCGAGAGAATTATTTACACTAAAAATCCCGTTAAATCATGCCTTGTTGTTGAAGACTGATGCTCAGAGCATCTGCCACAACAGACGCCAGCTGATGCCTCCCCACGAAAACCACAGGACCTTTGTCTTCCCATACAACTGGATCCGTGCCGCAGGAGTGCGTCAGCCTCACGATCCTGCCTGCAGCTCACATTTGTGGTTGCTCCAAGATACAAAACTCCAGTGCTCGGCCCAAGGAAACCCACAGAGACGAGATGCTCCAAAGAGCAGTGCCACCTCTTCCTTCCTCACCACACTACACAGAGGACCTGAGCTCCTGTCAAGAGCCCGGTGAAGATCAGTGCATCCTCCTCTGGCAATCTACCAAGGGGGTTACCCCAGCCCTCTTTGTGAAATTTGGGTTTTTACCTTGCTGCTTCCCGGCTTCCCAGCACTTGATGTAACTAAAAGGAACCTGAAAAGGGCGTTCCTACAGTCAGAAATGCGACGTTCGGAAAAACTCATTTCATGGCTATTCATACCTCAGTTTGTGAAAGCCTTTGTATTCTTTTAGGATAGGCTGCTTGAGCATCAAATTATTTTGCTTTTCTTACATCTCAGCAGACCAGGAGACTCTGTAAGGTAAACCATCAAAATATCCATCCACTGTGAAGTCTGAGGGAAAGAAATACTCCCACCCCATTTTGTATGCCATAATGAGACTGCAGCTTCCTCAGGCATCCCGTTTATCTCACCTCAGGTGGGCAATTCAAAGTTGATTTTTTTTTTTTTTTGAAATTTCCTTGTAGTCACGAACGAATACTAGCCATGAATACAAATAGGAATAGGCAATGTCACCTCTTTCTGTTAAGCAGCCACGCTGCCCATGAAACAAAATCAGGATCTGCTTACCTGATATGATCCTAATCCATCTCTAACATGGTGAAGAAAACTGAGCTAAGTAGTCTACTATTGTGATCCAGTGTTTGTCTTCCACATTTTGAGCAGGCTGACTGCTTTCTGAACCTCTGTTTTCATGGGCTTGGTTTTACTGTTAGGCTGTATTGCTACCCACAAGAAAAACATCCCCAGAGACATCTCCCTTTCGTCCCAGTACTTGGAGCTGGTTTCCTTATCAGGGCTAAAACCAGCAATAATTATGATATACACAACTGCTTAAGTGAAATGATTGCTTATGTAGCTCAGTTGATAAAGTCCACCTCAGCTGAAGCATCCAGGCTTTCTCCCCTGTTTTTTTTTTCCTCAATCCTGACTTGCAACAGGTAACAGCAGAACAGGCTCCCACTGACTTTGCAGAAATACTTGGAAGCCATCCTCACACCAGGCCAGGCAGGACCACTGGGGTTATCTGTTCTGACTTCTAGCATCCCTGAATCAATTTTGCTTAGGAGTAAGGAGTTTCCTTCAAACTGCTTTCCCCTAAGCTCCATTCCTTAACTGTTAATGACGGAGAACCTATCCATCTTGGTAAATTGTTCCCACAGTCAATTAATGCCCTCACTGAAACCCTTTCCTGCTTCTACTCAGAATTCACCTCTCCTGCAGTTTTCAGCCACTCGGCCTTCAATATCTTTGCCTGTCAGACTGGAAACTCTTCTGCTGTAACATTTCTGTTTCCTACACAACTAATATGGGCTCATGTCACTCCTCAACCATCTCCCAGCTAACCTTAACAGTGATCCCTAGTAAAGGCAATGGTCTTGTCAAAAAGACAAAGAGATCCACAGCTCCTTTAGCAGCAGGATAACAAAACGGGGATGTTACCATCACAGATCATGCCCAGAAAGGACCAGAAATTCAGCAAAATTAGATCACGTTCTCTATCCAAAATTCCTTGAAAGCTTCTCATCACTTCCAACGGGTTACTTTGTTCTCTTCTCTCTTCCCTCCCTATGATTCCTGAACGTTTTGCCTGCAGAGAGGTGGCGGGGCTGTGACAGCCCTTCCCAAGGCTTCAGATGATTAATTCATTGTTCTGGGCACAGCAAAACACAACTCTGCTGGGTACACAGGGGAAAGGGAGATGAGAGACCGTGGTGAGGTGGAGAAAGGAAGAAGAGAAGAAAGAGGAAAATAACTCTGCATTACATAACTACTCCCAGCAGCAAAGTAAGCGGCTAGCTGCTGCAGCAAGCACTGCACTGCACGTGATAGGAGAGCAATGGCCTGCTCAGAGACCTCCCCAGAGCTCACAACACCTTCAGCACTTCACCCTGAAGAAAGCCTATACATTCGTGTTTCCAAATCCCACAACTTCCCACAGATCCTTTCCATCTGACCAGAAATAAAGCAGTCCCCGAGCAGCAGCCACACACACCGTGTGCTGCCCTGGGCTGCAGCCAGCAGCAACCTGCCGCTTGCAGACAGAGACATAATTAAGGACACACCACACGAAACCCTCCATCAAACCGGGAGGGCAATCTGTTCAGCTTGATGTAAAGTAAGCCTGCGGAGCCCTGGGAACTGCTGAGACACCGCTTTGCCGGGAGATTTTTACCTCTACCTCTGCGTGGGATACGCATGCTACTTTTGAAAGCCTCGTATTTACAAAATGCAATTAGTTCAAGCCAGGCTTGGTTTTTTTAAAGACTCCTCCTCACAAGCAGTCAGCAAAGGAAAATTCATGATTTAGTTTTGCTGTAAAGCCACAGGAGACAGGGAGCTTTGTTCCATATCCAAGGCCTGCTAGCCTCATGTTGTCACTGTTAGATGCTGCACTGCGATAAAATACACTTAAATCTACGTCTCTGTATGTTCTTATTGCGAGTGGAAGCAGAAAGTTTCTTATTTAAGACAGTTTGTAAGAAACCTTCATTCTCTGTGCAAGTACCAAGGTCGTGCTCAGAAACACGAAGGAGGCTTTAGTAAGTACAACCGCGCCTACCCCTGCCCAAAACCCGACA